AAATATAGACAAGAATTTTTTGATTTATTGGATCGTTTTTCAAATGCTGGTCTTATACATTATGATCAATCAACATTGGATAAAGATTGTGTCTATTTTTTGGGACGTGATTGTTATGAACATTTAGATATACAAGATCGTCTAGATGTTTTTCTTCTACATCAAAAACATTTATATAAATGTTTATGTAAACAATTTATTGAACTTTTATTTGAATCAATTGAAATATTTATTCAAACATTTCTTAAAATGAATCAAAATGATAATTCATCAATAACAAATAAACGTAAAGTAACAACGGCATCAATCGATGATATATTTGAAAATGAAATTATTAATCAGATTAAACATGATTCACTCAGACTAATAGTTTGTTGGTTATAATATTAAGAAAATTTAAAATTCAATCATTTTCAAACAGACATCTATATTATCGTCTTTTCTATTTCTATAAAATTTTCAATCATAAAAGTTCTTTCTCTCCTCTTCTGATTTGATTTCACAGTTAATAACGCGTCAAAGTTCTCGATTGGGCCTTAATAGTCGCGTGTTTATTCCTCGTTTAAAGTCAAAATCTGTATCTAGCTCTTTTCTTTCGCGAACATTGAACGGTTGGAACGAACTATCTTCTGTTTTAGCTTGTCAATCTTCTTAACATTTAAAAATATGCTGAGAGATTATGCACACTTTTAACAATGCTATATATATATTTTTTCTTTTTTTTTGTATTTTTAGCTTAAATTTTTTAGTTTTAGGTTATTCCAAGGTATCCACGGATGCCACAAGTATTTTGAACTATTTTTTGTGATATTTTGTCTTTGCGTAAAATAAATCTAAAAATAATAAGAGTTATTCTCACTTTGTTGACAGTTTCTTACTGAGTAAAAAACCTACAATCAGAAACGATCAGCAAAGAAATAATCTATTACCTATTTAATGATAATAAATTTTTTTCATTTGTAAGTAAATGAATGATTTTAATTAAACGTTGATCAATTATTTTTTGCTTCAATGCATTTATATCAAATTGTTCTAAATTTCCTAAATGTTCATTAAAAATAATTTCTGCGTGCTTTTTTCCAAATATTTGTATAAAACGTTCAATTCCAATATGCTGATGCCATTTTTGATAGAATTGTGACCATGTGGTATCTCTAAAATCTAAAACATGACGTATCAGTAATTGTCGATAATCATCGATTAATGTCTGTTCTAATTTTTCTTTTTGTTTTAAATTTTCAATATACGATGGTAGTTGAAATAGAGAAGATGTATTTGACGATAATTTACGAGTTGATATCGATGATGATTGTTCACATAATTTAACAAGTATTTCATAGATCGATTGTATATTGATATTTTGCTGAGAGGATGTATGAAGAATAGGTGGAAGATGTAATTGAATATCTGTTGTTGATAAAGTAGTAGAAATAAAAGAGTTGCGTACACGTTGTTCAAATTTAGATGATAGTTCTATCTGTTGATTATGAGAATAAACTATATCATTTTTAGTGGTAACAATCAATATTGGACGTTTTGTTTTGAGCAATGGAATTAATAACGACAAAAACGAGTCAAATTGTGATTGTTGACTAGAAGATAAGTCGTCACCACTACTTATATCATAAACACATATGAAAGCATCAACTTGATTTTTGACTTTAAAATCACGAGGAAAACGTTTCAGTAATGGATGTGATACATTGTTTGATAACATAGAATCATCACCATATTCACCACTACTTGATACAACTAAAATCGAAAATAAAATAAAAAGTGATGATTTTGAAACAGTTGTGACTCGGTCAAAAAGCAATGAAAATAAAATGATTTTATAAGATATATTGATTAAAATATAGATTTTTGAATATAAAAAAGATGTAAAAAAAAAACATTAATCTGAGAGTACTAAGATATTTTCAAACATTTTTGAATAACTTACTATTATTACTGGTGATTAATTTTTCATCTACTTTTATTGTAACAGTGCTAGCTCGTTTAATATATATTTCATGATTATCTCCTCCACTACTATCATTTAATTCTGTTTGTTCGATAAAATGAAATAATACTTCATATTTATCATCTTGACGTCGATATTTCACATTTCCCCAATAGGAACATGAATTTTGTACCAGTTCCTTTCGATTTGTTAATGTTGTTATCGAATTAATATAATCGTCTAAGTGTGAATAAATTAACCGTTTACATAATGATGATTTTCCCACACCGTTTAAGCCAACAACGCTAATTGTATAAGACGTTAAATCTTTTTTTGACATTGATGTGGCTCATCGATTAAAAAAAATCTAATGTCATCTCATGAACAACGGAATTAAAAGAGCAAAATAGAAAATAAAAATAGAAAAACTGTCTTGATCGTTTGATGGTGTGTACGTTTTTTTTCTTTATCACATCTACAATATAGAGAGAGAGAGGGAGAGAAAGAAAAAAACAAAATACCTTGAAGAAAAAGAAGCACTTCATGTACTACACCGCATTAAGAATGATTTTTCTGTTAAAACAGAACAACGAAAAAAAACTTTCGAGAGTTTAATCTGAAACTTAATGGGACGCAAACTCTCGCTGTGGCTACTAAAATTGTCTATACTATGGCTATAATCAAAAGCAAGTATCTTATAAGTGAAATTGATATAATGCTTGCTCTTAGTCAATAAACTTTAATAGTGATTGTTTTTGGAAAAATATATTTTCGATCAAAGGACAACAAATTTATCAATCATGTATGTCATAAAAAACATGAGAACGACAATAGGTGTATATATGCAATAGTTTATTTTTACCAACGTATATACCTGAGACGAGAAAGATTAATCATTCCATTTATTTTCTCTCCTTCTCCTTTATAACTAACTACTCTTCTCTATAATCTTAAACTAATTAGAAAGTGTTAAAGTAGTTTTTCTATAGTATTATGAATCAATAATTTACGTCCTTTTTATTCACTTGTCAACAAAATCAATCTTCACTAAATGATGAATAGTATTATTATATGCACAAATAACTATGAGTAAAGAAAAAATAAAGAGAGGAAAAGAGACAGAAACCTTTCATCCTTCTTATTCACATCAAGGTTTTTGATAAAAATACACAAATGACCACACTAAAGAAGGGGAACCCTTGTGTAATCCGTTGATCGACAAACACGTAATACTTCTCTCATCTTAAATTGTATAACTTACAACTAAAATTGGAACGTGATGATAAACAGCACGTGTTAATTCTTACATTATACAATAGCAAAATTGCGATTTCAATTTTCAAAGGAACTAAGCTCTGTAAAATACTTCTTTTTACCATTTTTATCAACATAGTTATAGACTCAAATATCAGATCTTTTGACAATGCAAAAACCAAACTACGTATGCGTCAGAAATCAGATTCTTCTAGAAATCAATCACTCGCTTCACTAGAAAAAGTGAAGTGTGAAAGAATTTTTAAATAGACAAATGATCATGAAAACTGCATCATTATTTTAAAATTCCAACGTGCAATGATAAAAAAAGAGCTTCAAGTCAAAGAAACACATGAGAACATCTGAAACATAGCAACCTAAGGAAAAAGTCTAAGGAATAATCAAACGCTAACTGTTGAGACAAATTTAGTATACATGTTGTTCACGCTAGAATTTTGTTGGTAGCGGGTACAATTGCAACGGGAAGTGATACGAAATAAAACAAAGTACTAACTAAAAAGATGAGCTGAGCCAACACATAGGAAATGATAGTCAGCGCTATAGAGTACTCATGATACTGTCCGTAAGTAGGATCCTGTTCTATTTTTGATTGGTTAGCAAAGGAGATAAAATGGCTGTGCAGTTGTCATTTATATTTCGATGTTGTTGCCTGAATATGGATGAGCATATGAATGAGCTCCTTGATTTCATGAAAAAAGACGATAAAACGATCATTCATTAAATCACAAAATTCGTTGGAGAGGTGAAACCTTTCTTTTCTGCTTGTACAAATGATGAACCAATGATAATTTTATAATGAAAAAGAAACAAAACGTGCTTTCTCTTCGACACAATTCCAAACAAGGTACCGCTCGTCTGCACTCGCTCAGTTCCTTGACTTTACCAACTGATATCTACGAACAGCGTTTCATAACTTCGAATAAAAAACAACGCTCACACCTCCCTTCAGTCGGTGTTCACTACAGACTATCCAAAATATGTTATGACTTTTTCTCCGATTTGATGGGCAAGCGTCGTAATCTAATATGAATCTAAATAGTGTTCTCGAAACCCTTTAAAGATTCCCAGAAGAATATTGCTAAATTGAAGATAATGCGAATGCCTCCCTTCGGTCGGCGTTCGCAGCCAAAATATCTGCGAAATGTGATGAACTTCTCTCATAGTACGGAAACAACGCCCACTGTAATAGCTAAACTGTAAAGTTTTCTGGAGATCCTCTGATCCCAAGGGTTCTTGAAGTGTTTCTGATCGATTCATTATGCTAGATGATCTATATTCTGTAAGTTTCATTATCCGCAGATGGCTTTGTTTGTGTTATCAAAATTGACTGTTTTCTTACCACATCTCTCTCAGGACTACAGTAACAGTTTGCTTAGCTTTTTTTTCTCTCTGCATCAGTAGATATTTCAGATCATCTCTTTGAATATTTTCTTTCATCGTTAAAAAACAATTTTCTATTTTTCTCTCATGTAATTGGCTTCCCTATAAAAAGAATTTCGGTGCGCATGGCATATCATCGGTCACTGCAGTATTTTTAATAGGAATTTTAAGCAAAGTGGGTTTCTACAGTTTACCGCTGCATTTTCCATGCAGTTCCAAAACAAAGTGGAAATCGAATTTTTAAAGTGGAAGCCCATTTTTTTTGCTCAAGCGAGACCCACTAATCATTAAAAACAGTGGGTCACTGGCGCTGATGCGCATCCATGCCCAGCAAGTACCGATTGGCAACCGTGACGATATACTTCTGCCAAAAAGTACCGCGCGGGTAAAATTCAGTGCCACATGGGCGCCGAACTGAAATTTATCTAATCAGTTTAGTTGGTTTTTTATTATGGTTTTTTATACCGAATTTTGTATTAGAGTGCGGCACTGATTAGTACCACACCGATATGTCAAAACCATGCGACATTGCCTCGGCACTTCTCTTATGAGAAGGAAAAGATGAAGCCAGAAAGACATTTGAAATATTAGAAGTATACTGTGGCGTCAATATAGACAAATTGGCAAAACAAAATGGTTATTGAAAACAAAACTTCGGCACTGGTGCGCACCGGTGCGAGATTTTTACATTCTTTCTAGCACCTGCACAACCAGTGCCGATAAAATATTGTTTTGTAGGGTTATTCACGGAATATCTGACAGCCATTTTTCCGTATTTTGCGCACAGACAACCAGTTTGTAAGACCCTAGACTAAAGTCAAGGGAACAATATAAATTCTTAAGAGAGAAGAATAAAAAAGAGTGCCATTATACTTTCTTACTGGAATAGTACGAATCAATCAGAAAAGACGATCTGGCGTATCTGAGCACAGGATAACTGAGAAATGTTGTGGATTTCTCTGATTCTACGGAAAAGTGTACAATGTAACATAAAGCTAAAAAGTTTTCTGAACACCCTCTGAAGATCCGAAGGGGACTACAAGTATTTCTGATCGATTTCCAAAATAGACTCTATATTCTGCACAGGCGGCGGAACGATTTCAAATGGGGTAAGGCTCAGTTTAAAGCAGTCCTCCGTAAAACGAACTTTTTAATATTTTTGCTTATATCTAGGTTACATAAAATTCTTGTGCCGTGCCACGTTATTCTGTATATTCATATAAATGTAAAAGACTGACGTAAGTTACATATTTCTGTTAACTAAACCACAGGGTTGCACCGGATCAAGGTTGTGCATGGCGGGTCTTGCTGATATTGTTCAAGCCACTGACGGTTGTCCGGGCGTATTTTCTCAAATTTTTCATCATCAAAAAACGCAGATTCAAAGTAGTAACGATGCTTTTTGGTAAACCTGGTGTCTCTGTCGTATGTTTGACTTAATTTTGGCAGTATTTTTCAAACTTTTTCACAAAGTTTGCCATCGGACCCATGACATCAAGGCGTTTGTGGCTAAATTCCACATCCTCTAAAAAGAAATTGCTATACCATAAAACACGGAATGCACCAGTAATGACAACTTTTTGGAAAATATGAAAGCGTTTTTAAAAACTTTATTCGAAAAGTGCCTTTTACAGAGAGTTCGACAGACTAATGTGCATTACTCACGTTTTCGATAATATGGGCGAGGAAAATATATTTGCTTTCCCATAAATCGAAGTGGTTTAGATTGTGTAATGAAAAAAAGCGTCAAAAAGGGATTTTAAACCAAGGTGCATATTATGCATGGATAGTGATTTTCTTGTCCAAAATATCGGAAAAAACAAGTGAATTCAATAACAGAGTATCTATCATCTTGTGTTAAGCGGAATAAATAAAGTTTTGCCAACTGAAAAGTGCGTTTTTAGCTTTATACTGTCAAGAAGCTAAGATTTCTAGTACAGTCAGAAAATGTCCACGATGAAGTAGTATAAACACACCATGTAAAATCCAACATTGAAATGGCTCAGCCTAACAGGACCGGATTCGGATATGGAACAAGCCTTACCCAGCCTAGTGGCTCCGCTGCCTATAATAATTCTGTAATTTTTATTATCCGTAGATGACTTTTTGTGTTATCAAAATTGACTGATATTTCTGGTCCCATCTCGCTCAGGACTACAGCAAGAGTTTGCTGAGCTTTTTTTCAGTCTGCATCAGTAAATATTATTTCAGACATTTCTTTGAATATTTTCTCTCGTGTAAAATATAATTCTATATTTTTCTCTCTTGCGATTGGCTTATCCATGAAATATCCGACCGCCATTTTTCCGTATTTTGCGCACAGACACGCAGATCGACAGCTATTTTTGTAAGATCCTAGACAAAGTCAAGGAGATAATCACGGACCGATGACCGTTAAAAAGTGACCAGTTAATGACCAGGGTTTTCACGGGTCTTCAGACTTTGTTCGTGTGTTTTCATCATGTTGCATCAGGGAAATGATGTAATAGTTACATGGAAATATCCTATTAATAATTTTATTCTATTTAACGAAAATTTCCATGGATTCTTAATATATTTTCCCTATTTTAGATTCATAAGAATACAGTTTAAATGGCAACAGCAGCAGGTGATTCAAAACAGGTATTTTCTTTCCACTCGTGTTTTTTTTCAAAACGTTTTGAGACGTTGATTTTTCCGTTTAGAATCCAGGTAGTGAAGAAGATTGTGCTGTAAATAATTATGGAACATTGCCATTAATTCAATCGAAAGAAAAAAATGATCGTCATTTAGTATCAGTTCGTGATATAACAGAAGCATTAGCTAAACAAATAATTTGGGTACGTGGAAGATTACATACAAGTCGAGGAAAAGGTACATTAGCGTGTTGATCGATCAACTATTGGATTGCGAACTAGTCTTTATCTAGGTAAACAATGTTTTCTGGTAATTCGGCATCAATTTGCAACAATACAAGCCATACTTGCTGTTAGTGAAAATATTAGTAAACAAATGGTGAAATTTGTTGCAAGGTATAAACACAAGAGTGCGACATTTAGAATACTTTTAATTTCGGTTTGTATTTACTCAGTATTCCCAAAGAAAGTATCATTGATGTTGAAGGAGAAGTTTCATTAGCACCATCGCCAATAGAATCCTGTTCACAGAAAACTGTCGAATTACAGTTAAAAAAAGTATATATTGTATTTGATAAGACTCGGTATGAGCTCTAATTTGAAATATTTGTCGTTTTAGGTATTCGTTGTTAGTACAGCTGAACAGCGTTTACCATTGCAAATTGAAGATGCTATGAGACCTGAAGAAAGTGTATGTTCTTGTGCTTTAATATGCCTCATTGATAGGTTTATTAATTAAATTTGTTCAGGACGAATCAATGGCTCATGTGAATCAAGATACACGATTAGAAAATCGTGTAATTGATTTGCGAACACCGTCGAGTCAAGCAATTTATCGAATTGAAGCTGGTGTATGCAAACTATTTCGTGACACACTTGATGAAAAAGGTTTTGTGGAAATTCATACACCAAAAATTATCCCAGGTATGTCAATACATGATCTTTCTTGGTTTTACGTTTCAATATTTTACTTTTCAGCCCCTTCTGAGGGTGGTGCAAATGTATTTCAAGTAACATATTTCAAAACAAATGCTTATCTCGCTCAATCACCTCAATTATATAAGCAAATGGCAATATGTGGTGATTTTGGAAAAGTTTATACAATCGGAGCTGGTAATAATTTTGATTTTAGTAGAATTCAAAATAGTTCTCTGTAATTTAATTTCTTTTCTTTATTTTAGTATTTCGTGCGGAAGATTCAAATACACATCGTCATTTGACTGAATTCGTTGGTCTTGATATTGAAATGGCATTTAATTATCATTATCATGAAGTCTTGTTCACTATTGGAGATTTATTCACACAAATATTTAAAGGATTAGAACAACGGTAAAATAAGAAATTAGTATCAGATCTAATAGATTATGTATTTTTGATTTATTTAGATTTGCTTCTGAAATAGAAACGATCCGAAAACAGTTTCCATGTGAACCATTTGAATATTTAGATCCGCCGTAAGTTAAATATTAATTATCTAGATTACTAGTTAATTATTATTTTTTCTGGTTGTTATAGTCTAAGATTAGAATATAAAGATGCTGTTGTAATTTTACGTGAAAATGGTATTGAAATGGGCGATGAAGATGATCTAACAACTACAAATGAAAAATTTCTTGGAAAATTAGTGAAAGCAAAAGTAAAAATATGATAATCGAATCAATTATTATCTAAGATGTTTTGTTCTCCACAATTTTAGTATCATACAGATTTTTATATGTTAGACAAATATCCCTTGTCTGTTCGACCATTTTACACGATGCCGGATCCTGATAATCCAGTAAGCTCTTCTATAATATTATATATATATCTATCATCTGATTTATTTTTATTCTATAGAAATATTCAAACAGTTATGATATGTTTATAAGAGGAGAAGAAATATTATCGGGAGCTCAGCGTATACACGGTTAGTTATTTTGTTTTCTGAATTGTTCAACTTAAAACTAGAAGATAATTAGAGATATCTGTTATCTGTATATATTTTTCGTTATTTTGAACGATTTCTTTTTATTTACGTATTTTAGAAGCTCAACTTTTAACTGAACGTGCTAAACATCACAAGATCAATTTAGAACAAATTAAATCTTATATTGATTCATTTCGCTATGGTTGTCCTCCACATGGTGGCGGTGGTATTGGTTTAGAACGAGTATTAATGTTATATCTTGGATTAGGTAATGTTCGAAAAACATCAATGTTTCCGCGTGATCCAAAACGAATAACACCATAAGATAAGATGGTGTAACACGAATAATACTTGTTATATTGTTATTCAGTTTTTTCCCTACCGTTTGGAATAAGTTGTTACTGGAAGAACCACTTTTTTTATTCGTGTTGTTTTAACTCATTAATAAACTTTACCATGTTATAAATGTCTTTTATTTACTCTCAATTTCATCTGATTGATAATATTCATGCTTGAAATGACATAAAAATGATGGATATACTAAGTTATATTAGATGCGTTTTCATGCTTCCAAAAAATAACAGTTTAATTACAAAGGTCACACAAGATATGATTCATCTCAAAAGTATCTCATTTCTATGAATAAATTATAGAAAAATCAATTTTATACGCTTGATTATGCGTATGATAGAGATCTTTTCTCTTTCTCTGATGATATATGGCATGTCATTGAAAATGGTAGAAGCTCACTCTACATACTTTTACTTGATTAAAACCAAAACCATTTATTTTATGTTGTATTTGAAATTTAAATCCTTCGCATGTCAGAGTGCATGCCTGGCATACATCCTTCAATCCAATTAAATTCGGGTAGTTATAATAAAGCATAACTTGTCAAGAATTTATTTGTTTACTTTCATTTTTTTTTTTTATTTCAATTTTATAAGATATTTTTCTTGATAATTTCAGTAGTTCGTTATTCAGAGTTGTTATTTTTTATTTACCAAGGTAGAAATGTCTACACTATAAATCCATGTTATGTCACTTACGTTTTCTTTTTCTCATTTTTTTTCTCCATAATCGATAAATATACACGTAGACATTACTATTATTCTTTTTCTTTCTCTTTCTCTCTCTCTCTCTCTCTCTCTCTTCATCGCGTTCATACTGTATATACAATGAAATAAAATAATAAATAATCCATTGAAGCTTATCAAAAACATCACGAAAAAAGGCTTTTTGATAGTAAAAAAGAAAAAGAACGTATAAACTGACACAAGAGCAGCAGTTATTCTCACCTTTCCGAACAAGAAACACATTTTTTTTTCTACTTCTGTATCATCAAAAAGAATTAGACAGGTATAGGTTAGTAATACATAATAGTGACAACAATTAGATTTAGATTAGTTTGTAGTAACGTTGGTACATGTATGTACAATAATATCGAAGTTTGTATACTAGACTTCTATCCTAGCGTCTATAGAAACATAATCTATTGTTAAATGAAGATTTTTTTTATGATTAATTATCTACGTAAAGTGAATCTGTATATCTTGAAACATGTCTATCTACCTTTTGTGGACCTTTTGAACTAAGTTTTACTTACTCACTCATCATGGTGTTTCCATTTTTATTCTGATATAATAGACCGTTTTTTTTCTTTGGTTTCGAAAGATTTATTTGTCGTACAAACATAACAACGCTACAACGACATTATTATGATCGATGACAGATAATTGTTTGTTTGTGTCTCTTTGAGAATCTAAAGAGAAACAAATAATCATAAAGATTATAAGATAATAGATACATTATTTGTTTGCATTTCATAGAGGTAAAGCTCTGTATAACATGAAATGTATTTATGAGACCAAAACGTTTTTCACTTTTTGAAGAATAAGCACTGTTTTTCTGCACTTCAAGACAAAGTATGTTAAGTTATTTCTAACACTAGTAAATGATAGCATGATTTAGTGGAATATTGAATAAAATTTGAAATAGTTAAGTTCAGTTTTTCTATATACAGAAAGTTTTAGGCAAAAACTGAATATTGCATCAAATATGAAAAACTAGTATGATAGATGTTAAAGCACACAATTATACATCATTAGTAGAGGTGAGCGAGTCACTTGAAGAATCATCCAGAAGTTTTTCTCGCTAAAAACTAGCGTTCGATTCAGATTTGTTTGGACTACAAAATGATATATCTCAATAAATTTTACCACCTTCATAGATTCGATCTAGTTCCCGAAAAGCAACTGACTCAAAACAATCAAAACTCGAATTAGTTGTTTTTCAGAGACTAGGTCGAATTTATAAAGGCGGTAAAAATTTATTGGGATGTATCATTTTGTTACCTAGACAAATCTGAATTGAACGCTACTAAAAGTAACTCAAAACTTTTTAGGGTGAAAAGCTTCTAGATGTTTCTTTAAGTGATTCGCCCCTCTCTGATCAATAGTAACTTAGATGTTTACGTTTAAAATGAAACAAAGCAACGGTTCGACTGTTGATATTTAATTTAGTCTTGAGTCCAAAAAAATTGCTTATTGAAGAATGAAAATTTAAGAATATCAGATGAGATAGATATTTATTTGTCTCGTATCTATTATTATTATTGATTCATGTAGTGTGTAAATGAACATTCAACATGAACAAACAGTTTTATTAAAGGTCAATCGATTATGTGTAAGTAGAGAATAAGATAATAATTAGATCATTATTAGTTGTTCAAGTTTAGTTTGCATAGCCAGTCTGTATTCTATGGTAAACTCAATTCGTTTATTCTGTGTCTTATGTACAGATTCTTTTAATACATCCAATATCAAAGATGTTAAATTGTGGTTTTTCTTTGTCTTCTTTTCAACATAGAGTAGCCATGCCCATTTATTTTTTCATCAGTTTTCCTAGATTATTCTGTTCTTGTCAAGAAAAGATGCATAGATATTATATATATTGTTTATATATTAGACAGAGAAAGAAAATTAATTGTCAGATATTATATAGCACAATCATAAAAATAGCTACGTCTGTATAAGAGAGAAAAACGAGCAATAAAAATATTATTATAAATTTCTATTTGCCTTTTTTTATGTTCAAATATCGTATTCATTTATATATAGACTGTACACGATAAATGGCTGGTGGGTGAGTTATCAGAAATATGAGAAAGAAGGGCGAATTAATAGCCGTTAAAAAAAAAAAATGTTGATCAAATCTACTCTTGAGACAGGTACATAATACGTTATGTTACACATATTAGATATTTTTTCTGTTTTTTATTTAATAGTCGAGGTCGCTCATCCCACTGTACAAAATAGTGTATGCTAAAAAAATATTGATAGAACTCTAATCAAACTTGTCTGTTATGAGTGGTATAAATCTTGACAGTCTCTCATTTTTAATATTTCTTTGACAACAACAAAATAGTTGATTCTGTACATTTCAAGAAAATGTTGTCGACAAACTCAGTAGACTTGTTTACTCTTTATCTTCATCATCTGGAAAACAGTTATCAAATCCGAGATTTCCTAATTCCTCTATTTCATATTAGAAATGAAATGAAATTTAAAATCTTTATAAACGACAATGTGTCTTGGCGAGATGTACTTATTTTTTTTTATAAATTATTTCATGTATAAAAATTTCTTTTTAACTTTTAACTGTTCGTTTCGGAAATAAAATGCAAACGGAAAACATAAGAGAAAGAAAGACAACTTCAAGGTTGATTAATTTAAATGCTGCAAGTCTTTTTCAAGTAGTCGATTAAAAGTCAACAACACATTTTTTGTTTTATACAATTATGTTCGATGATAAGGGTGAGATGAAGAAAATCATTGGTTTTGATTTTGCGGATAAACGGATGTAGATTTTGGCATTTTTCTGTTAATCTTATGCTATATATTTCATATAAAAATAATAATATAAATTCTCATTGGAATAACAAGACAGATTTGAGTGTATGATGTATGTTGTTACCAAGTTTTATTAAGAATGGGTTTTTCTGTTGTTGTCATTCTCTATCACGTAGAAACATTTACTTAGATTTTGATATTATTTGTGTATGACACCAGCGGTATGAGAAATTACCCTGTATTCTAATCGAAAATCATTTGAGTATTTGTTGATCGTCGACAGAAATGTTTTTGTATCTACATTATCAACGCTAAAATTTATCTGAGAATATTCGTAGACCTTAACGACCATTTTATTCACTGTGAGGTAGAACTTTAGCTTAAAAGCATGTCTAGTGCCTATCAGGGCCGTAACCGGAATTTTGGTATGGGGTAGGTATCTAGAAAAAATTCTATATTTACTAGTCTGAATATCCATATAAAAATTTCAGTCTTTGAATATTATTATCAGATATAAACTGTAGTGAAATCCTAAGGAGTGGGCTCTGTATGGCCACCCCCTGGGTATGGTCCCGGTGCCTATTCTTTTCCTTTTTATTTCTGTATAATAGTTGATTTATACCATATTGTTGAATCTGGAAACAAAAATAAAATAACGTATATTTTTATTCTATTGATATATAAAATGTTACGGTTTTTCTTTTTTATAAATACCTATAGCTAAAAGTGGGAGGAAGATATACACCATAAATTACATTTAGTTGTTTTTTTTAAAGTCACTCACTATACGTTTTCTTTTTATTTTACTTTTTGAAAACCGAAACTAATTTTTTTTCTACTTATAATTAAATTTTTGTATATTATAAGTAGGAAAGAAAATGTGAGTTCAACGTGTGTTCTGTATAATAGAAAGCAAACAATTAAGTTATTTCAATGAAATGTGGATGGTTTCTTTTTCTTCTTTTGGAAAAATCCATGAAAGACGTCGAATGAAAAAAAGAAGGAGTATTCTATAATCACGCTTAGAAATGTAAGCCGATCGACTGAACCTTTGTCGCATGGGGAAGAAATTGTTAAGTCGCTGCCGACGACGACAAAAATCTTCAAAGAGAAATCATTTTTTTCTCTGTTTTTTTTTCATGTTAAATGTTTTTGTGGGTTGTTATGGAGTCAAAGTGGTCACTGTTAGTAATCATACATAGTTACTGCTATATGTTGAAAATAAACAGTTTTTCTCGTTTTGAGAAAAGTCAGTTGCCGCTGCTAAAGGTGACCGAAAATTGTCGCATCCACAGATGTGTCAACCGGAGATAGTGAAATTTCGGGAGGTTTTTAACCGTCACCGCCACCGCCGTTTTCAACATCGGCGTACATCTCTTGTGACGCTCATTAAATAAATTCTTTTAACGCATATTTACAAAGTTGTAACAGTGGCTGTTAAATACTATTTTTATCATATTTGTTCATATAGACGGGAATATTTGTCATTCGTCTTTAATGAATAATGCCTTGTAAGTCAGTCGTTTACGTGTGCGTTTTTTTTCTTCTCGTCTCTCCTTTACACATAGACCATTCAGATTTAATTTTACACATGATCGGTAAACGATACACGTTACTTTTTCTTTATTATTTTAATNCATATTTACAAAGTTGTAACAGTGGCTGTTAAATACTATTTTTATCATATTTGTTCATATAGACGGGAATATTTGTCATTCGTCTTTAATGAATAATGCCTTGTAAGTCAGTCGTTTACGTGTGCGTTTTTTTTCTTCTCGTCTCTCCTTTACACATAGACCATTCAGATTTAATTTTACACATGATCGGTAAACGATACACGTTACTTTTTCTTTATTATTTTAATTTTCTGTATACAATGATTTTGTTACATTTCATTGAATTAAACGCTCTCAAGTAGAAAATGATAGCAGGTGCACTACCGTGCAGTTCGAACTCTCTGTTATTTGTTTTTGTTACCAAAAAATATAGGCTAAGTCACTTCTTTTTTTTTTATTTCTTTGTAATTTTTTTTTTCTCGAAAATCTATTTTTCTTTTACAAATTCTATTTGAAAAGTATGTTCTACGTTTAATGAGTTAGTCAAAGCAAAAGAGAAGAATGTCAGATATAAACGTTAATTTGTGTGTTTGCCGATATAACTTGAAGATGCATGCATAGCTTATGTTAAACATTGCTAGGATATTAGCTTCAACTTATTTACTAAGAGACTATTATCTAACTTTGAAACTTACTGTGCTAAGTATAAAATATTTAAAATATAAATCAAAAATAGGTGAGAGAGAGAAAGAGAGAGAGTATGATAGAGTACGTTACTATTTTAAGCTAATGTATTGTAAAAGAAGAAAACTCTGCTTTAATTTCGATATAGGATTTTTTTATACTACAATCAAGAATATCCAATTTATTTAATTTTTTTCAAATTGATTAATTTTCTCATTAGACTGATTTTATCCTGAGCAAAGATGATAAATGATAAAAACGTTTAATAACGAAGATGTCGCACAATCGTTTGTTTGATTGATTGATTATTATTATTTACAGAGAAGTAACATGTATATGTACATATATGTAGAAATATTCTTACAGGTGTATGAAATTTCATGTTTTCACCTTTTTTTTTGCGAGTGTGCATCAAAAGAAGTGAATGTACTTTCTTGATTAAAAATAACATACATAATAGGATAAAGTGTTTCTTTGCTCGTTGTTTCATGATATTTCTTTATTTTTTTGTTGTTTTTGACAACTTCAATGATTCATCCTGACGCTTCTCGACAACAATGTAGGAGTCATACAACATGTTATTGTCGCACGTAAAGTTTAGTCACTAAGTTTACTTTTTAGATAAATTATTGGAAAAATATTGAATCTTCAAAAGAGTTTCTATTTTGTTTTAAATTAAAAAATGTCCAAAATGATGTTACATCCGACTGACTGTACTGTCACTGGTACGTATGTGATTTGTCTTATCTTCTAGGAAAATGGAATTGAAATACTAATCAAATTTAATTGCTAAGATGCGCAAGTAGAGTGTTCTGACACCATTTTTACTTTTTAACAAGACAGTTGTTTTATTGGATTTGCTATTTGTGTTTCTATTGTTTTAAATCTATCGCATTTGACTAACAGCTTTGAATTGTTTTCTTTTAGTGCATCAAGCAAGAAATTTACCGGATAAAGGAAAAGGAGGTAATGATGTGTGTACTGTTTAACACGTTTTCAATAGTCTTAATTTAAATTTTGTTTAATTCTAGGTATCGATGCCTTCTGTACAATTTCTATGGGCAAAGAAAAATTTGTTACAGCCACACGAGAAAAAACACGCGCACCCGACTGGCAGGAACAATGTGATATGTAAGTAGATGAAAGAAGAGAAATGAAAAGAGGATCATTTCTAAATTGCTGTTGTTGTTTTGTTTAATAAGGCCAATATCAGAGGATGCTGTTGTTAAAATTACTGTTTATCATCAACATAAAACGGCCTTGTCAAAAGGAGACTTTATTGGTCGAACCTACATAACCTTGAGAGATCTACAAGACTACGAAAGAGTACACAAAAAGTATGTTATGAGGAAACATTATTTTTATATTTACGTTTAAAACTGTAATTATTTACTTTTAGTTGGTATACATTAATGAATAAAGATGGTAAAGCTGATAAAGACCGGTAAGATGGTACACATTTAAGCCTTAGTTGTCAAACAAAACGTTTTTTGTTGTTTCAAGAGGAGAAATTGAAGTTAGTTTACAATTTTATGCTAAAAATGGTACAACAGGAAGCGTGTTAGATCTTAGTACAAAGAGAAAACATTTATCATTCGGAGAGATCAAACGTTCACTACGTATGTATAAGATATTATTTAACAATATGACTTTTTTTTTCTAACTGAAATTTATTTTTCTTTTATAGGTAACAAAGCAAAAATAGTAAAACCCGACAAGAAGAGTAAATACAATGGAGAGAACCAGGTACGGAACTCATCTGATGGTTTAATGCTATGTTGAAGTTAAAACTTCAGTGGCTGACGTGTATCTTGTTTGCATGATGCCAGTGTTTGTTTGTTTGTGTGTTTTTCATTTTATATTTTCGTTTTCAGTTAGCTGATCAGCGCCGCCGTTTAGGTGGCGATGCTTCTCAATCAGTGCGAGATTTTCTCGATGATTCTGCATCGGAGGTATGTGTGGTTCTCACACTCGTATTCACATAAAAACTCGAAGAGTTACTCACACTAGCTTCTTCTCGACATTAATTACAATCCATTACAAATTATAATATACTCTGCGCTTTTTGGTCGATAATCTATGTTTTTATTTATTCGTCATTCTTTCGACGAGTTCACAAATGATCAGGAGACTCATTGTTGCCACTTTTTAACGATAATAGATCGAGAATGCGGGTATTGCGTTAATGTGTAGTGTACGCTCTAGACTATAAAACACACATCGAAAGATATATGGGCTATTATAGATTGGCATGAAAAGGTAAGTTGGTTTTCTAAAGAACATATATCAATGTGCTCTACACATGGCAATAGCCGCAGATCTTCGTTATTTTTCTATCAAAAGTAACGAAAAAAACGCGCAGTGTATACTATAATTTGAAACAGAAAATAGTCGTAGATTTGACTTCTTGTTCAAGCATTGAACGGTTGTTATTTTTTTTTGCTTTCTTTGCTTACTTCTTTGTTGCATGTCAATTAAACTATTACTTTTTAACTTGTGGATAACTCACATTGCGAAATAAGTATATTATGACTGTATTTTAACATCTAGAATATACGGGAGAGTATCAAGATCACATAATTTGTGAAGAATTATATTTTCAAAAACGCAAATTCTGAACTATTCAATAGAATATATACGCATGTCAATTCATTTTCCTAAAAGATACTGCATATTTTAAATACAACTGGATAGTCGAATTGAAAAAATATTACATAGAGTTTTATAATAAGACGTCATTTAATCTACAAGAATTTTGACTATTGTAATTTTTTTTATTTTCTCAAAGAGAGAAGGCGACTAAAATCGATGAAAGAAAATTTGTCTATCAAAATTAGGATTAATACCTTTTTATTTTTCATTAATAGGTATTTAATAGTTAGAACAGTAGGCACAAAATCTCTTGTTTATTAATTGAATTGACGTACCATTGTGTATTTCTTAGAGTTTATTTAGTTGGATGCGAAATTATTTTCATACATATCTTATTACTTGTAAGATTTTATAGGATTAACTCCTTGATTAAGACTCATGAATTTGACTACAAATGTATGTTAACCTTTTAGCCATTGGATTATTCTCAAGAACAGGTTCGGATACTGATATAAATTGAAAAGAAAAATAGAGCACATACATATTCATTTTTCGGGTTATTTTTTGCTCCTTGTTTTAATTTCAACTCTTTGGGTTAAAAATTAAGCCAATCAGTTCTCAAAATAGAAGAGAGAAGATATAGAACCATAAAAATATAAATAGAAAATTTGTCGTTCTCTACTCTAGAAACTATTGTACAATTAATTATAGTAATGAATAATATTAGTATTTTTATTTTAAAAGAAAAATTCTCCTGCTCAACGATTAAAATTAATTATCAATATAATAGCTCATTGCACGCTTACACTTGATATTATTGCTTTTATCTTAATTGTGCACACTGTAGTTGTTCAATTTTATTCAACTATATAAATGTTTTCTTTTGACTTCCAGGGTACAGCGTCGTTTGCTGGTAGTATGATGTCATTAAATAGTATGTCATTTGATGATCGACCAAAAAAGGTATGTGTTTGTTTACTTTGTTCGAGATTCTATTCATAAATACTACAGAAGATAAACGTGCAAGCAACGCTAAATTCTAAAATTTTGTCTGTAGTCGATGTCTCTAAACAGAAATGATGATGTAAGTTTTAATAATTATACATTTTATATACTATTATTTCATTTTTATTTTCATTTTTATCCCTCTTTTCTCCTTTTGTTGAAATTATCCATCCGCATGCCCATATTTTGTGTTATTGTAAATTGCATGATGACATGTAGACGTAAATTTAGTAATTTATTATACACAGCATGAGATTACAATATCAACATCATTAATTGATCATCGATAAGACTTGTGTTGATTTATTAACTAGTTACTGTGTTATTATGTGACATAAAACAAAGTAAAACAGATATATTTAACTAGTATAATGATAGAAATTTACTTAGAATAATAATAGGTAAAATAAGGCCTGATTTTCATGTTTATAGTGTGTGTGTTATGACACTAATGCTGCAGAAAAATATTTTTTAAAATCGGATTTATTTTTGTCAGGAGATGTGATTCAATGTATACTAATTTTAGATTAAAAAAACAATGTACTACTGGAAATAAGAAATATAGTGCAAGTATTCCACTACATTTTTACTAGATTTTCGTAATTTTTACGAATAGTACGCACTATTCCGAACTAATGAGACTAAAAGACCAAACCAGTTTATCACAGTAAAAACTATTTACTTACATTTGCGATCGAATAAGTGCGAATAATATAAAGACCGTTTTACACAGAAAATTGATATAATGGTATCGATTTGCAAAAAGTTCGGATTTAACAGACACTGCTAGAAAAGTTTGGTTCGTAAGTATACGATTAGTACCATCTTTACATACACTGATATAATTATCAGTCTCCATAGAAGGCCGCTTCGCTTTTATTTTCTTTGTCAACTTACATCGATTTTTGGTAAAAGATCGTTTACATGAACGATAGTTCGACATATATCGTCGCATTCGTTGTTTAAATTTGCAGACTATTGTAAAAGTTTGTGTAAAATTACAACTGATAGATGAAGTGATACGAAAATCGTGCTCAAGTATCAGACCTCTTCCTAGAAGGCCATTCTGAATAGAAGATCGGGTTTGAGCGAAATATTTTCAGAACCGCTGTAGATGTAGAAATACTTTTTCGACAAAAATGTTGTATATATAAAACCGTAATAGAAGGCCATGGCCTTCCGGATGAGAATATATTTTTTTCCAGTTTCTTCAACGGCGCTGTCTTAATCGAGGTTTAGTTTTGCGTTAGAATCTGCTCTGAAATTTCCATAGTCAAGAGTAAGCCCCTATTCGATTGTTATGTCACAGTTTAGTATAAGAAATACTGAATTATATCCTTTCCCCATTTCGTAGAAAAAAGATCTTGCTTAATTGATAGTACGTTTTAATATTTCAGCTAAATTTGACTGCTTTGAATGAGATGTTATCGTATGAATTAAGGCTTTATGAGTGACAACGTATATTTAGTGGTTTGCTTCATACCAGTTGAAAAATTAAATAATTAGAATCGTTAATCCAAACACCCTTTTTTTAAACATTACAACTAGCAATTTTTCTAATAACGCTTCGATTATTAAAAATACGTTTATTGCTTTTTTCATCATTTAAACTTCAATAGGACATACTTTTTTTAAACTAACAGTGTATCTGTATGTATGTGTACAACATTTTTTACTTAAGATTATCGCCACATCATATGGCATGCATACATTCTAATCTTTCTTTCATTTTCTAGCCCTATACTTGAAAATAAATTGAACTTTACTGTTATCTGTTGCATGCACGTTTATCTAATCAAGGCGAGAGAGAGAGATTCCTTTTTGCCATTGTTTTATGTCAGAAATAAAGCATTTGTAACTTATTCAGTCAAAAATAGGTGACGGCAGTTGATTGTCTAAAGAGATTTTATAAAAGAGCTTGTTTGCTACATCCCTTAGTAAAAGAAACTGAACTAGCGGTAATTTTGCAGATGAATCGTGCCCCAAGCCTAGCAGCTACCAGTGGTATTGGTTCAACATATGGTACGAGTACACCCTCCGATTTACGTTCTCGACGATCGATCACATCCGATTTTGATACATCATCTATATTAGACAGTGTCTCGTTAAATAACATGTCAATGAATAATGATTCGCATAATTCTCCGCCTCGTGAGTTGTATGTTGGTGAGAAAAATGATCATCAATTTGTTATTCCAACAATTGCTACAACAGCACCTACAACATCACAAGAAAAACCATATAAAAAGAACGAAAAAACATTGCATTCGCCTACAAAACAGTCACCACCTGATCCAATTTCATCCATTTCAGTTCCAGGTAATAAAACGACAGTAACGACAGCTCAGTCTCCCACATCGCCTACATCTCCTACCGATCGTAGTCGAAGTTTTTCAGTCACTGGTGATGATATCGAAGCAGCATTTGATGCTATTGCTTCATACAAATCCGAACATTCGCCAACTTCAAATCCAGATACATTTTATACTACACATAATCATAACAATAATAATTATGAGGTAACAACACCAGATGCGCTATTTGGTTTGTCATCAATACCAGAAGATCATGATGAATTGCGTTCATCTATCTATGATACAAAAAAGACGTCATACAAACCTTCGACCGATACAAATCCGGATAATGAAATTGAAGAAATTGACTTTGACAGTTATTTTAAACCGAAACAACAGCCAACATCAACCACCACAACAACAACCCAAAAAGTACAAAATGAAACACCATCAAAAAAACAAGAGAAAAAAGAAAATTCAAAACGAAAAGAAACTGCACCACATAAAGAAGAACCTTCGGTTGTTATGTCATCTTTACCACCAAAATCTGTCCGTTCCGTTCCAGAAGAAAAACCTGTTGTGAAAGAAATGCAAAAGCCATCTGCAAATATTTACAAAGAAGAAAATGTAAAAAGACCAGCCCCTGTTCAAGAAGTTAAACAACAACCAGTACCGATAAAAATTGAACAACCATCACCCAGATTATTACGAAACAATAACGATTCTATTGAAGTTGATGATGATGACGATAATGATGAGGATGATGATGATGATGATGATCGTCCAGTAGATGACGATGTCAACGAAATTGTGGCAAAATTAGAGGTTTGTATGATTTCTTGTTTCTGGATTATAGTACGACATACATACACATACACATACACATACACTACTCTTTTCATTATTGTTCTAAGGGTATTTTTTATTCGCACAGAGGTGTTTGTCAGATTTTGCACATTCAACAATTAATTGACTAAGATTGCATGATTATTAGAGGAGTAATTCAGTAAATGGGGGGGAAGAAATTCTGTTTCATTTTTGTGCTTATCATTGTTGCTGCTATCTAGCAGGGATTCTTTTGCACGCATTTCTTATTGCTTTTTTTCGCATATTCGCACTTCTTACTATGTTGTTCTAATACTTTTTATTTTATTTCTAAATGTTATAATCGTAAACGCTAAAAGATTCTTCTTTAATCTGTACTGAGAGAGCGTGTATATACTTATTTGTACATTCGGATCCAAGTTATGTCACACTTAAGAAGACATATGTTTAGTTTTTAATGAACACGGAGAAAAAGGTTAAAGTCAATAGTATATGAAATTGACCAAACATTAAGATATGTAAATAAATTGCTATATGTGATAATAAAAAAAAATTGTTCAATGCTATTTTTTGATATTTAATCTTTATATATGATGACCGATGAAATTGAATGTTGACGTATTTTTTTTTTTTTTTTTTTATTGTTATGATTGTCTTATCACTTATGTTTATTGAATAATTTTAATTCAAATTTTTTATTAGAAATCTTGCATGTCTAATTAACCGCACTGACTCATTTATACACAAGCATCATTTTATTATTTATTATTAGTTGATCACTTATATATAATTTTGTGGTTGATTCTAAATTCCTGTTTTGTATGTGTATGTGTATATATTGTCGTAGTATATTTTAATTTATAATAGACGTTTTTTTCTCTGTTAAAAAAAACAACAACAAAAAATTCATCAACGTAAGTAGCAGATAAAAAACGTCTATTCTTATCAAAGAAGTATGAACATAATACTTTTAAGATGTCTTAATAACTTTTAATAGAATACTTTCAAATATTTTGTTTTATATTATAAATTTTAAACAAAACATTAATATTAAATTTAAATTTTATTGAAAGTTATTAAAACATCTTTAAAGTTGTATAGTTATCACTTCTTCTTTTTCTATATCGCAAAACTCTCCATTCAACGGAAAAACTCAATGTTAACTTTAGAGAATGTCCAGTATGCGTTCATCAGTGAAACGAAAAGTACAACCCAAAGAAGATATTATGCAACAAAGTATTGAGGTAATCATATACTCTTTTTTTCTTTCTTCTCTATTAATATTTCATATTTTTCACAAAAAATATAAAAATATAAAAATAAAAATTATTTCAGACTTCCGCTATATTACCGTTAATAAATGATATTCGTCCTTCTCATTTAATTTATTCAAATCGATATAATCATAATAATAAGAATAATAATAATGTTAACAATCAATTTGATGATGACATTCCGACACCAAATGCGGATGTCATTATTGTAAGTGATATAGTGTGTATATGACGTTTGCATTTGTTATAAGAATGGCCATTTGTATTGATTATGTGTTTTTATTTATGATATATATATATATATATATTTATATTATGTATAACCTGTGCTTTATTGTTCATGTCTTTTGCATGCTTAAATATTCTACATATTTGTGAATAGTTTAAGTTGCAGTAACTACAAAAATTTTCAAATGAAAAAATAGTTTCATAATTTAGTTATTGAATATTAAGTTGTACAAAAAAAAAAATACAGTGATCATTCTACTCTCTCTCTAAACGTAATAAAATCGTTTCCTTGAATGATTTTATTTTTTATTTTTATTTTTTGTCCACCACTATTGAAAGCATGCTTCAATTAGTTAATGTATAAATTAGTTGCATGATTATTAGATGACTGAGATATGCACGTAGTACGAGACAAATCGATATACTTGTTTAAATAATGAAGATTAACTAGTTTTTGATCTAAAAAATGAAATCATCCTTTTTTTTCCCTATCATTTTTTAATATACAAATTTTTCTAGTCATAAGAGAGAAAGAAAGATACTTTAAAATATCTTTGTCAATTTAATGATATCTAAAATATTAAATATTTAAGAAATTGATTGTCATTTTTTTTTTATTCTATCAAAAACTAAGCTCAATTTAAATTTGCATGATATCAATATAAATTTTTGTTTGAGACATCTTTGCAATATCATTGATTCTGTAATTTGATTTATATATAACGAACAAATCTTTTATCATATTGACAATATATTTTTTTTCATGTATATCAATAAATAATCATTTTTTATTTTATATATTTTGTTTAGATGGACGGTCTAACTAAATACAATACTGGTTAGTTATCAAAAATAGTTTTACTATTTTTTTTCAATTTATTTTCTATTTCAATTATTTATCATGTACTTATGTTTTTAGATCAATCATCAACATCATCGTCCGCATTCAATAGTAATACACATAAATCTGATCGTACAGCTTTACCCGATATTGTCGGTGAACCAAGTATGTTGAGACAGAGCGAGAGAGAGAGAGAGAGAGAGAGTGATATTTATTAATCATACAATACATAAAAATATGTGTACGTTTAGATCAACATTCAAAAACATCAAATCAAACACAACCAGTGAAAAAAGGTGGTCTGAATGTTTTAGGTTATGATAATGTAAATTCATCAGTTATACAACCAAAAATACGAAAAGAATTAGAATATCTTGATCGTGAAGTAAGTGTTTATCATTTCTTCTTTTTATCATCAAATAATTATTGATGAATTTCTTCTTTTTTTTTTATTTATTTAGGAATTATTACATGTGATATCTTATCAAAGTGAACTATTAAAAAAGAAAGATACTCGATTAAAAGATTTAGAGGGTTATGTTGACAGTTTATTAGTTAAAATATTAGAACAATGTCCAGCAATACTTCAAGTAGGAAAATCATATAGATAAGATTAATAATATTAATGACAAATACATTCAGAAAATAATAATCAATTTCTCAAATGCTTTGCTTGCTGCTAATAATGATCTGCTTTTTCATTAATGCTTTATATTACAACTATACACACATACACATTCAATTGTATTAATCTGGCTGGTCCATTTTATCCGTTAATATATACATATATATATATATAAATATATATTTTTTTTGTATCAATTTTTTTTTTGCACATGCTGCACACATGCATTATTATCTTATCATGCTTTCAATTAATTTTTTTTTCCTTTTTTTTCTTTTTATTGTATAACAGTGTCTTCTTCTTCTTCTTCTTCTTCTTCTTCGTCTGGTTTATGTGTTGTCTGTGCTCTAATATACTGTGTTAATGAATAATATGTAACCTCTTTTAATTTAGAATGGGACATTCAAATACAAATGAATAGCTTACAATGGGTTGCTGCAGGGGAAAACTTTGCGTGTGTGTGTGTGTGTGTGTGTGTGTTTTTGACTTTGTTTTTTTCTTCTTTGTTTGTATAATTGATGAATATATTATATGATCAATCAGGGAGAAAGTATGGTTCTATGCAACTTATTTTTGTTCTTTTAAAAACTAAAAATAAAGATCTGAATTCAATTTTTTCTTTTTTATTATCTTTTCTACATACAAGAGGAAAATAAAATAATAATCACACCGGTGATAATCAGTGTTTTTTTTTCCTCTTCTCGATTGATCCACTCATTCTTCTTCTCAAAAGTGCCTTTAGTTTGTACATAATCGTGTGTTATTCTATTTTTCAGCTTTTTTCTTTTCTATGAATTAACAATGTTGTGTGTGTATTGGTTTTCAACTAGTGTGTAATAGTGTGTTATAGTATATTTAAAAAGAACAACAAACATTTTCAATTTAAATGTTAAATTTTTTTTTCTTCTTTTTTTTTCAATTTATACAGTTATACTATTCAATTTCTTTTTTCCTTTTTATTTGTCTAAACCTACTATAGGCAAAAAAATAAAATTTGAACAATCGAGAGACAAACAAAAAACGAAAATAATTCAATTGATGGAGATAAAAATATACATAAATTTGAGTTTATTATTCAAATCCTCGTCGATAACTGAATATTTATTTTTCATTATTCAAATCTCTCTTTTATTTAATTTAAAAATAATAAAAATTTTTATACGATATTATCTTAGATAATAAAACAAACTGTTTTTATTATTGAAAAATATGTCAATACAAAACTGATAAATAATTTTAAATTAACATGAATAATATTGACAAAATTGACGCTCTTTGAATACGTTAAATACTGATGTTAATAAATAAATAATAATTGCTCCAATCAATGATCCAATCTGTGTTAAAACACCAAACCAAAATAGACCACGATGACCAGAATGATGAAGTAAATAATTTCCAATTATAATTCGTTCATAATATAATACACAATACATAAATACCCAAACAAATGCCTAAAATAATAGACAAAAATGTAATAGAAATAGTTTCATTTATGATTCTTAAAGATAGAAAATTTTTTCAAAATAAATAAATTTCAATATAGATAATAAGAGACACACCACCTTTTTCATCATGAAAATCGACTATTTTCTGTTTGAGACGTTTCGTCTTTATTCAAAAGACATCCTCAGTCAAAAGACATCCTGAGGATGTCTTTTGAATAAAGACGAAACGTCTCAAACAGAAAATAGTCGATTTTCATGATGAAAAAGGTGGTGTATCTCTTATTATCTATATTGAAATTCTTCACCTTACAAAATGATTCAATAAATAAATTTGTTTAGTTTTTGTAGAAATATAAAAAAAGTAATTAAAAAGTACAATTTTTTGCTGTACAATAGTTTTGTTGCGTAATCCGACGAAGATAATCAAAAGTATAATTTAAATTCAAAGTTTTTCTATCACACAAAATGATATTTTCAGACAGTATGTTTTGATAATAAAAATTGTCTAAAATATATGCGCTTTTACCAGCTATTCTGGTCATTTTAATTTCAATGTGTTTGTTATCATAACAATTCATAGTCTCTAGTTTTTAATTGTACATCTTTTTAGTATAAAAAAAAAAATAATGATTTTTCTCAGTCATACTTTCGAGAAAAGTTGCCATGATAATGATCTGAGGTGTCTTTTTTGTCATTACTAGAATCAAATTTTTAAACTAAACTTTTTTTTATTACTACAAAAATTCAAATAAATGTTTATTTTGAAAAGAATACAAGAATAAAATCGAAACAAAATTTTCTATCTTTAAGAATCACAAACGAAACAATTTTGAGTAACTTTAATTTGGGAAAAAAATCATGATAAAAGCTGGCAATTTTCTCTGAATCATTCGTTAATTATATCATCGGAACAAAAAAAATAAAGTTGATTTTTCAGTTGCTGAAAAGTGCTTTTTTCGTATCTAGCACACTCGATAATTCAGAAAATTTTCTATTTTTGGCGAGGAGTACTTCCAAAAGTTTAGGAAAAATTTTAAAATAATATGGCATAAAAAACTTTCCATTTAATAAATAAAGTTTAAAAAAGAAAAAACAAAAATTTTCCGTGAGAAAATAAAATTAGTTTGAAAATTTTGCAATAAACTTTTGGAAGTATCCCTCGCCAAAAATAGAAAATCTTTGAGATTATCGAGTATGTTGAATACGACAAAACACTTCACAGTAACTCAAAATCAACTTCACTTTTTTTGTTCCAATAATATGCTTAAAACTTTCATCGTTTTATTACTTACAATTAACACTTTGCCAGACAGTTGATCAACTAACGGTGAACAAGGTGATAATTTTGCAGTGATAAATACGTAAATAAATGTTGCTGTTCCAGTAGTATTTAAAATGTAAATAATTTTTGATGAAAGTCGTGGAATAAAAATGGCTAATAAACTCATTAATGGATATGCAAATTGGCATGCGATGATTGTATTGTGATAAGTCGTTATAGAATATGGATTCAATGAATAAGCTATAAAAAGAATAAATAGACATGTAAAGAAATTATGTAACAGTTGAATAGTATTTTATCACGAACTTTGAATACTTGGTACGGCACCTTAAAAAAAATAAATTACAAAATAATGATGATTAAAAATTTTAGATCCCGGAGACTAAAATGAGCCAAAATATAGCATACCAATAATTATTATACTAGTCCAAAAAATAAGAAGTAAATAGAGACCATGTTCAGATAACCAGAATTGTTTATAGGTCATTGATATTTCCGTTAACAATGAAGCCGTGCTATTACTATTATATTCTTCTTTTGTAGATTTGATTATTGATTTATCTTCATTTCTTGTTATTGTCGTCGTTAATCGTAGTTCATGAACATTACTAGCAGTAAAGATTTTCAGTTGCATGCATATAGTAGTCTATTTTCGAACTATTACTATTTACTTATCTACAGTATTTTGTTGAGCTTTATGTTCATTATCAGTCCATGTACTAGTTGGTATTGTGTCAACAGTTTGTTTAATCTGTTTTCGTTTGCCAGTTTTTGTTAGACATAGTATAATGAATGAAATCAATGAAAGAAACATAAATGTTGATAGTCCATAAAAATAATTCTGTATAGAAAATCTCGGTGGATAATTATATTCGATTATATTTTTTATTGAAATATTTTTACTTGTATCATTGTAAGTATTTACGATGCAAGTGACATGACCAACTCCTTGTGCCAAGCCTATATATTAGCAAACTATTTCAAACATTAAATAATTCAGCGGAATATTAGCCATGCTAAAATGTGTTCACTTCTGCTCTTGAGAGTCAAATATATTTAGTTTTTCTTCATCAAACATTTGGATGATGATGATTCAAAGATTTTTTTCTTTCAAAAATAAATAATTACGCTAACATACCTAGCAGCGCTGGTAGTAATGATGACAATGCTTCACCGGTGAAATAGGCATTCAGATAAAATGATTCATAACGATTAAGAAATGGGATAAATGTCACTGAAGAAGTACAATCAACAGTGGCTAAACAAAATGCTAATACCATCAAATAGGTACTATGTTGAGAACCGAATATATACGTTGTCTTTTTCCATACAAATCCTAATGCAATGAGAACTCCAGTTCCCACGGTTAAAATAAACAAATTTGCTGGTATCTCATAAGCTGATGAACGATTGGTACAGCGTCGAATGATAGCTATCACTAGTACGCCAACATTGGCCAAATTTGATATGAGACCTTTAGCAAAAACATAGTATTATTCTTACATAAAAATGTCATCAACCAGGTACTAACCTAATGTTGCCGGAAGTTTCCATCCTTCGATCAGTTCAGGAACAATTAACGGAAATTCAATCTTAATTAAAACAGACGACAGTAATTATTAGTATTAATAGTTTAACAGAGTATGGTAAATTTATAACCAAATTGATACGAATAAATGTGTCTATGGATTATGAACACGTATGAACAGAATGTTCTATTGAACATCTATTGAACAGAATGTTTTGCAACTTCTTAGTATCTCTCGACTTAGACATAGCTAACAATATATGGGAACACAATCTGCTCTATGAGTCTGTTTCGTATCAACTACCATTTCATTATGTGCTATCAACATGCGAAGCATCTCATTCAAAAGACGACATTTTCTTCTTACAATGCATAAGACAAGAAAGTATTGGTTTGATAACTCACAAAATTGATCGTTTTTCAACTTAAAACGCTATAACGATCATGTGTTTTTGTGTTACTCACCCATACACCTGATAAATTTAACCATGTTCCAACCCCAAAGAAGATTACTAATGTATAGGTAAAAATTGTTGAACATTTCAATTTTTTATTTTCAATATTATGCCGTTTCCAGAATATTTCTAACATAATCAAAGTTTAAGGTTGATTTATTCAGAGAGAAAAAAAGACAATATGATTTCACTAGCACAAGAAAAAAGTACAATAGAAAAATCATGAAAGGTCATTCAACAAAGTTTCAATTGATATAGACATATATGTCTATTACTATGAGGCATGAAAAATAAATGAAGAAAGCATCGTGTAACAACTGTGTTACTGTTGACATTTGTGAAAATGATAGAGAAATCAGCAAGAACGCCAATTATGTCTCAACCTTGAATATACGATTTGCTGAACTATCAATAATTTATTCTTGTTCACCTATAGTTTTTCTTGATAACTATATGAAGAAACGATTGAAAAAAATGGCTAATTTTAAAATTGCAAGAGAAATTTGATCATTGTTTCATTAGACACGAAATTTCAACTCTTTTAATGTTCGACTTATGAAGAACCACTTGCAATGTGAAAAGAAAGAGCCTGCAGACAGTGATCAACAAGAAAATAAAAATGATTTTCTAAACGTGTACACTGCACCTTGTTTGAGTCAGTGGCACAATTAAGATTTCATTCCATAAAGGGGCAGAATATTTTTTGATATGTTTAAAGGTTACGAATTTGTTTACAAAATTCCATCAATGAATAACCAGGACAGCGATCGAACAACAAATGCTCACATATAATTAGGACATGCAATAAAGTCTTTGCAGTATCAGTGTCACGAGGCCAGTGTTATCGATTAGGGGGTGGTATACCACCCCCACCAACCCCCGTTTGGATACAGTTACTCAAAAAGTTTTGACTCACTCAGAAACTTTTTAAGAAATTTAAGTTGAGAAACTGCCTTTTATGCACCTGAGTAACTCATTTATTTACCGAGAAACTCGCTTTTGTGCGCCTGAGTAAGTGATTTTCTCCAGCTTCTGAGTAACTCATTTATTTACTGAGAAGAAAAAATGTCACTGAACGGTTCTACACTTTCACTTCATTTAACAACAGTTAATAATTAAGGTGAAAACGTAATTTAAATCTCTCAATGAGTATGTTTCTTTGTAACCAGTCTGGCAGTTGTCCTATTTGCCATGAATCTACAGTTGTAAAAAATTTTGCGAGACATTGCGCTAATAAACACCCATTAAGTTTTGAACAATATGATGCCGCATTAAAACAGTTAAAAGAAAAATGTACAACTAAGCGTTCAACACCAGCAGCAACCAATCCACTTGATTAGCTTAAAACATGCAGTTACCCAGAAAAACATTTTGGTCCAAAAATAAAAAAATTTAGTTACTCAGCAGACTCCACCCCCTACAAAAACTACTATCGAAAACACTGCATGAGGCTCCTTTGAGTTATCAATAATCATCTTAAGCAAAAACTTGTAAGGAGAACTGAAGAATATTTTCTTAAATTCCAGAACTCCAAAACATTCTGAATATGAATAGTTTATACGATAGGAGAATAACATAAACCATTTTTCTAAACTATTTTTCTTCATGAAATTTAACTAAAAGAAATTCCGCGCATAGTCCTTCTTGAATGGTGAGGTGAGCAAACAGCAAAATATGAGAACCGGAAGCATTGTACAAATGCTTTATGGTTTATTTATTCTCCTATTCTATAAACTAATCACATTCAGAATACTTTGGAATTTAGGACAATATTTTTTTAGCTCTCCTCATAACTTTGTTCTTAAGGTAGAAATCATCATTGATGTCTCATTGCTTACAAAATTCGTTTTAAAAGAATTATTTACCTACATTAAGCTGAATGCATGCACTTAAAGTGACAGTATAAAGACAAAATCAATCCTCTACCATTTGACTTTATCATATTTTTCACATGTTTTACAGTCTAAGTAGATTCTTTCTTTTAACGAGTAAATGCAATGCAGATGCGCAAATGACAAAAATCGAACGGACAGACGATAACAGATTTAGACGTCGTTCATAAAGCACTATTAAATGCGAACCTGGTCAAACAACAAAATAACTTTATTAACATTAATAATCAGACTTTTCCGAGCAAACAGGATTGCACTTAGTATATGACTCGTTTCCAAATGCTACCATTATAAATTTTTGCAGGGTTTCCGATCAGAGAACGGCTGGCTCCTTCCCACAAGAAATATATTTTTGGATTTTCTGGCAACGTGACGTTTTACCACCAGCACCTTTCTGCCAAGCATAATTTATTAGCCCCTACTATCTCTATGAACAATCGAAACGCCTGTTCGTTGTACCATATACATCAATCGGTCTCAGTAGCAGATTAAGCATCAAATCACGTAATTGGCACACCAACAAACTTCCGATTTTATTTACCGTTCTTAGAAGTGCCATGTATTTGTTTGTATTTCATGCAGTATTTATTATTTCATATTGAAATAGTACTATGGTTTAACAATAACAGAGACAAAAAAAGCTGTACACACAAGTGAAAAATACTTTTATCTGAGATAGAGATACACACACACATACGCAAAAAAAAAAACTAATTTTCGAAATGTTTCTTTGTTCTTACCACTTCATATCAGAATAATTTGTTTTTAATTAACTCCGCCAACAGTTGCTTGTTGATATTGCTTTGGATTACGTCTAAAAGATCAAAAAACATAGAAATTCAGTGAAGATCATCGGTGCCAACAGGGACGAGATAAAAATGTTTGACTTACGTTAAGATTGTATAACGTCCAGCAACAAACGATGCAATAGTTAATGCACAATAACCAAAAACAATCGAAGCAATCATTAATCGTGATGAATGACTATTGATATTTGCATAACTTGCATAATCTACCAGACCAGCTGTTATGAATACACAGGCAATAAATAGAAATAACGGTGCAAGAAAATAGCGAATACGTGGAAAATTGAGAAAACCCATCATTAAACCACTAAATATTGCACCAACTAACATGAACACTGAGCCAATTAAACACAAAATAAATGCTGACTTCGATGAAGAAGAATAAATATATTCACATTGTGTTGAATTTGAATTAAAACATTTATAAAATAGACCCCTCCAATATGCTTGGTTTCCCTCCATGTCATTTGTCCAGTAATTTGTTGCCATCGATATAACAGCCATAATTACTGCGAAACCAGCAAACACTGCAGCACAAACAGCTAGTTTTCGATTTAACGTGTCGAGAGCCATAATAACGATGGAATGAGAGATGCGTGAAGAGTGTAGCCGTTTGAGAAGACCTGTAAGATGTGTACAGTGTACGTATTTTATAAGAAATGACTACACAGAAGAATCTCTATATCCTCTAATGTATCGAACAATAACAGAGAAATAGAGCACAAGATATTCTCTTGCGTGGCCGACAAGGACGATGGTCAAGAAAAGAAAGAAAAAAAAGAAAGAAAGATGGATAAACTTTAATGAAAGCGGACGTATAACTTCCGTTTATATATGTTGTCTGTTTCTATCATCTTGGTCGACTAGGTATGCAGGCATCTATATATTATCTAACCTTGAAGAATTCAATTCTTTTGGCGATTTGTACGTGACCTGCTACTAACTTTTTTTTTTCTACCTATATTTTTTACATAGCACAGAAAATAGAAGAGAAAATGGTATTTATCTATTTTCGACGAGATTGACTATGTAAGACAATGTAGAACATAGATTAGTTCTGTCAGATAAATGAATGTACGGAATTTGATTTTATTCTTAGAAAAACCGTTGAACAGATAAAATATCTTTTATTAACGTTTCTCTTTATTTATGTACAGATGGAGAGACTATGATGGATCTTACAGATTGAAGAAAAACATTCCTTTTAAACGTAGAAGAACAATCTGAATTAGAATAAGAAACAATAGACAATAAATCGTTGCACCTTCGTACAATGCATATTACAGTGTATAGGGAACATATTCTGAGTAAGAACTATTCGATTACAAGCCACTTAATGTTTGTAGCATTTATTATGCAAAAAAATCGAGTAGTTCAGTATCTCTTCTTGCTTAATATAATAGTTCTGCAATGGGGACATTCAATTTCACTTGTTTCCAATACTTTCTTCTCATAACTATTGATTGGTATGACTCTTGGTGGATATCGATTTTGTGATGGTTGTAGTTCAGTAATGTGATGATGTTCAACTAATACTCGACCACTTCGGCTGCGCACTAAAGCGGAAATGATTGCATAAACTAGAATGTAAATTAATGCCGTGAGTAACATGAGAACGGCAAAAGCTAGCTGTGCAGATAATATTGCACGTTTATTTAGAAAATCCTGATAATTAAATTGATTGTTAGTTGTTGCTGTGATTAAATTATTGCATATAGATTCAGTTAGATAACATCTCGACGGATTATTAATAAATATTGAATCGAATACTATTAAAATAATGGCAAATATGGCACATAGGATGCTAACTAGTAAGACATAAGTAGCACATGATCGAGATTTATAACAACAAACTAAAATAATAACAAAATAATAGACTTGACTTTTTAGAAAAATTATATTGAACTTACCTAATGCAAACATAGATACCCATGATAATGTAAATATAAGGGAACACCAGAAACCGGCCCATATTGTCCCACGTACGGGAGAAATGATCACTGAAGCGGTTTCTAAAGCAACAATGACAAATGTTGATAACATTTGTATCACAGCTAATAGAACCGGTGCTGCAACTGGAAATCTTTCTCGCCATATTAATTTTCTTTCTGTCCGTGGACTATACATGTTTGTCTTTGACTGTTTATGGCTATATCATAGTTGTTGCATAGTTTCAACGTTTTTAAACCGTCGTTCTGTCGACACTTTGAGTTTACGTTAAAATATGACGTTGTGTCATTATTTATTTTTGTTGTAAAAGAGTTCTTGATGATGACCGAGGTGTAAAGAGGAAAAAAGCCAGAACGACTTTCTTTGTGGTTGGTCAGATCATGTTCCCTGTTTTTATTCATTAAGATTAACTACGTGTGTGTAACATAATCTTATTTAAACTATTTTTCAATTTACGTAATATAAGATATAGAACAAAAGTTCGATTTCTTTTCTGTTGCAGTTCAATTATATTTAGATAGCTTAACTGTAGATTAACGAAGCATTTTACAGAATACTCAAGGAGGCATCAACTCAAAACTCTCTTCATGATCCTAGAAATAAAGCCGAAAGAGATGTGTTATGGTCAAATAAAGTGTACGATTGAAGCTTCAGTCGTCTTTTATATTTCTGTTACCTTCTAGTTAAATAAGGGTTGATATATTTATATATAGAAATTAGATGATTTAATGCAGAATCTTATGAGAAATGTTATTGTTACAAAAGTTTTTCAAAAATTTTCGGTGGTACAAAATAATTTTTTCTATCTGCTCTTTCTGTTGTGCTTGTGACTGTGAAGATTCCTTCTCTTTTAATTACCTTGGGTAAGAGTATGAGAAGAGACGCAATCTCGCTGATGAGTACCGACAATGACTTGTAGTTTGCCAATGGATAGAAGGAGAATTTTTGGTGAAGAGTGCAACCAAGAATGTTTGCCTATGGCGCCAACTCTCATTAGGACAAAATAAAGGAATGTGCCACGTTATAAAAATCCAGAAAAGCGCTGGGCAAAAGACGTTTTTTTAAACTTCAGCTAGAAAAATCACAAACTTTTGGCCATTTCATTGGGTATGGCCCCTTCCCTTAATTGTGCCATTGGTTTTTTTCCTGTTTTTTCACTTACTCATATAAGAGAGAAACTGATTCTTTGCTTCTCCCTCGGATTTCAATCCTCTCGTTTTATTAGATAATTTCTAGAAAAATTGCTCGAAAAAGTTGATAGACTGCTTTTCCATTTGTATTCTGATACTTTACTAACTACTTAGACTTTGTATTGTGTAAGTGTTTAATACTTTCGTATGACTCAGGAACAGCTATAACATAACACTTTTTTGTAACCATGGTTTCCTATATATGATTATTTATATTCTGTTCGTTTTCTACTAAATGTGTTTTGGAAGGAAATGTGAATCAAATATTTGTTCTACACTTGTATTGGTAATTTCCGTATTCAAAAAGCTTCATATGGTTCGTAGCTTACGAAATCTTTTAAATTTTATACGCATATCGTTTTTCTAGAAAATAACAGCTAACAGTTCGCGTTCTTTTGTCCGAGAAGTGTTACTATAGCACCATCACTATTAATTATCGCATCTGAAAAAGATATTGTTAGCGAATTAAAGAAAGATGAGCTAATTGATCATATTACAATGTGTCCTAGTGCATCGAAGAAAAAATGATTACAACAATATCAAGGTTAGAAAGTTTCACTTGTTTCACTTTCGGATGAAAAAGACCTAAGAGAGGAAAAGTAAAACAGCAAGATAATAAGATAGCTAAGAGTTTCCGCTCAGTAGCTCTTTCTGAGTGTAAAATCTTATAACGGTAATAAATAGTTCATTTTCTATTGAATTATATTCAGTCATTTTATCGCCTATCTTGTTTTGTATAAACTGTATCTACTCGCTGTTTCTCTATGAGAGCAGTATACCCTTTATTTTATACGGTAAGTATTTTACTAAAAAGTATTTATAATGTTTGTGTTTTATAACTCCTTTGTGGGTGTATAAAATAAAGCTGTCAATCAAATTTAGACGAGAAAAACAATTAAAACTGCAATAACGCGCTGCAGGAAATACATTTATATTCTGCAAACATGCCACTTTTGCATTTATATATTCCCCAAATGCCCTTCTTCCAACATCTGCCGCTCAATATCTCAAGTTTTTCCTTTCCCCCTAGCAAGTTGGCAAATTTTCTTTTAAATGTACCGTCTCATTTTTTATTCGAGGCTTCATCCTCAAACGTACCTTAGCGTAGACGTTCCTGGCATTTCCTCGCTGGGAGTCAAAAACAGTTTAAACATTTGTCCTGTACTTTATATTTGATAGATCAAATAATAAGTGGCCTCATTTCTATTATTTCGTTCAATTTATAATTTGTTTAAGGGAGTTTGAAATCAATAGAATAATTAAAGTCGTCTAAAATTAGAGTCTAATGCCAGATATCTGTTGTATTCAAAACTATTGGTTTTAGATTGATGAATTAATATTAGTGAAGCATAAATGGAATAGTGGAAATATGAAAAATGAAAAATAATCTTTTGAAATCTACCGAATAAATAATACAATATATTAACACTTGAATATGAATTCCAAATACGGCTAATTAGTGGTGAAAAGGTGAATTATTCAGCAAGTTCAAATTTATTTTGCATAAGCAAGGACATGACAAAGAAAGTAAACGTTTAGTAACTTATAATATCCGGTAAACAGAAGCCTTAGTGATACCTGTATAACTAGAAACACAGCTGTGACTGTAGAAGGCGTGTATGCAAAATTAGATTATTACTCACTTAAAGGAAGTGTGATTTCATCCGGAAGCGTGCGTAACTTTTAACAAAGTTACAAATAACACAAAAATAACTAGGATATTTCCATTGTGACCTCAACAGTAATAAAATCCTTCCTTACGAAAGAAAACTGCCTTTATTATACTTTATTACAAAAACCCATAGTAGAGAAAGAGAAAACGGGAACTAAAGAAAAAAATAATTATCCTCTGTTGAATAT